GTGTGTGTGTGTGTGTGTGTGTGTGTCCTTGAGTGGAAAGACCAAGCACCTGCCTCAAGTCATTGTGACAAACTCTTGCTGGACTACACTGGCTTTTTCTGGGCAGATAGAGATACTCACACCTTCATCAATGGTCTGTCCTTCTTGACACTCTTTCAGAACACAAAGGTTCAGAATTGATATCAAACACATAGAGGAGGTAGCAGAACAGACAGGCCTAGAAGATAGGTTACTCTGAGAATACATAGATAGAAATTAGCATTACTTATGTCAATGCAAAAATGATGAGAGGCACCACTTTAAGTTAGAAATACACACACTTCTGTCTGTATAACATTTTTTGTTCATAGAAAAAAACACTATATGGTATTTCTAAGTTCAGTGCCAAATATTTTGACTTTACGTTTTCCTCCCTTGATACTGGAGGAGGAAAGCAAGTGACCCTGTTTTGAAGAGATAATCAAATGCAGCAAGCATAACTGACATTTGATCCAGCACCTTCTTAGGTCAAAATCTCATCCTCCAGTAAGACCTACTGTGATTTTTTTCAGAAGTGTTGGATTAGCCAGTTGTTATCAAAATTCATTTAAAGAAGGGAGGGTTTAGATAATATTGAAGGGTACTGCAAATTGACTTACAAAGATGCTGTAAGTTCCCACTGATGGGTAGAATCTATGGGTATTTCAAATACTCTACCCATTTTCTGTAGCTCCAGTTGCTTTTATCTCATTGATACGTGATAGATCTGTAAATAACACAGTTTCAAAAATATTCAGTGGGCTTTAATCCTTATCTAGCAGCGGCCAGTGACTGGAAGCTTCATAGATACAGTTCTTCAGTCAATATCCATGATTACCAAAGGTATGCATGGCTCAGCTGCTGAGGCTGAGCACTGGGCTCCATGACAATTAGAATAGCAGTGTATGTCTGTGTCTTGAATCTTTGGTATTGATTACAACCCAAAAGACATGTGTCAGTTTCTGACCACATCTAAATCCAAGTCATCTTAGCCCCGTAGCCCTTTTAAAAAAGTGTGTGTGTGTGTCTGTGTGTGTGTAGGTGCATAGGCCACTGTGCTATTTTGGAAGCCAGAAGACGACTGTCCTGAGTCAGTCCTCTCTTTCCACCTAGTTAAGACAGGATTTCTCTTATTTCTTCTACTGAGCAGCAAACAGCCAGGGTAGCTGGTCACAAGTTGCCATGTTGTTCTCCTATCTAGACTCCCATCTTGCTATAGAGAGTGCTGGAATTATAGACATGGGCTATTGCATCCTAGCTTTGACATGGGTTCCAGGGATAGAACTCTGGTCATCAGGCTTGCACAGCAAGTACTTGAACCCACTGAGTTATCTCCCCTTCCCTCTCCTCTCCAGTAACCCTACCCTCAAATGCACACCATTCATACCTTTCTCCTGGGCTTATTAATTTAAGCTGTTTCTATGAACTCATGTAACAGTTCTGAATTTGCAAATACCTCAGATGTTGTATAGTTTTTGGTTCAAGCCCAGTCTCTGTGACCCACTTCAGCAACTGATAGACAAATCATTTTAACTAGTTAAAAATGTATGTGTCCTGCAGTAATTAACTTCAAAAGATTAAAATTTTTAATGACAGACATCATATCATGCCTTTCATTAAAAATTAAATATTTAAATTGTGCATATAAACATAACTACTCATAATATTTATAAGTAAAATAGAAAAATTAAAGGATTTTGAAAAGTACACAAATATTCTTACATGGTGTTTGTCTGTATCATACATTCATGTTGTCTTACAGTTTTCCCCATGATTTTATATCATCTAATGTTTTCAATTTGAAAGAAACTAAATTTCAAATGAAAACTGATATTCTATCTCTCTCTGTTTAACAGAATATTCCTGGTTCTCCTTTCAATTTTCAGGGAAACCTTTTTATCGATATTCTGAAATCAATGCTGAACTACTTTTACCATAATCACAATCAATTGAATTGAAATAAATTAAAATTTTAATAAATACCGACCCTATTGCCCCTGTTCTGTTCTTGTCTTAACTATATTTTTCTGATCAAGGAATATTTTGTCTAATTAATTATTTTATTTTATTTAGCTTTGTATTTAATATATTTTTTCTTTGCAGCTTAAATGTGGTAGTTTTTCCCTCCTTAATTTTGAATGGTAAGCAACTAAACATCTGAAAGTAGTGTTAAATATTTAGACAATCTACTAAATTGTATTTTCCTTTTTAAAGAAAGTTAAATCAGTGTAACCAGACACAATTACCCAAATCTTGAAAAATAATTTTTTTTGGTCCACAACCCTAAATACAACTTCTAACACTTGGATCCAAAAATCCTCAGTTGTTATGTGATGATGATGATGATGATTAGGGGGTGAGAAAGAAGAGGAGGGGTATGAGGAGGAGGAAGAGGAACAAGAAGAGCAAGAGCATGACCATTGGTAATAACAAAAGTGCATAGGGCTTGCTATATGCCAGGTTGTTTATTGGCACTTCTGTGGTAATTCAAGTAATGTCCAGAGCTGCACTGTGAAAACAGATACTCTATTACCCACAAGTGAAGTGCCTGAATCCCAAAGGGAGCTCCAGAATGCTATGTGGGTATGAAGTATGTGGTAGCTTTACACACTTGTACCAGCCACTTCTCAGTGGCATTCTTCAAGTTCTCCTGAAGAATCTATCCACACAAGTCACTGAGGGACAGTAACTTTCCTGACAGTGAGACAGAAGTGTCTACATTGTTAACAAGTAGTAAACAATCTAAATACACATATTTGATAGTTGTTATCTCTTCTGGGGGCATTCTCTTCTCTTCCAGTGCACTTCTTTCTGTTGCCCACTTGCCTTCATATAATGTCTGAAGGTATGCCTTGTTGTACATACCTCTTGCTTCATAAATTGCCTGCAGCATCTGAGTCCTCTTGGGTGCATTTGGTTTCCTTTCTTCAACCATGAAGAATATCAGTGTGTTCCCTCTCTTTTATTTTTGCCCATCTTTCATAGCCACCTAGGTATGTAGTCATCATACACATTCTACAGAACAGCCATCAAATAACCAGAGAAATATTGTCATGTGGTGATTACACATTGTGTTTCCATGTGGTTCTGTAGCCATATACTATAATTTTAATGGCTCATTAAATTACCTCTTGCTGCTGTTACATAATTAATAAGCTATTTTTATTGCTGAATATTTTGATAGTTTTTATTATTTCATATGTTTATATAGTATTAAGAAAAACCCTATGGAAGGACTCAACCTCCCTTGGGAGCAGAAAGGGTATGAGATAGGTAGGGTGTTAGTTGTAGGGGCAGGGAAGGATGGGAGGGAGAGGGAACTGGAATTGACATGTAAAACAATCTGGTTTCTAATTCAAATAAAAAAAATTAAAAAAATAAAGTAGAACTGTGTAACTTGCAGCCAAGTCTGGAAAGGGCCTTATAATATACAAGTTTAACCTTTTATTTGAAGAGGGAGACTTTCTGAGGCTGATTTTGCAAATATGTAGGTGGGAACTCAGAGGTCGAATGGCTTTTATACATATCTATATACTGTAGGAGAACTGGACCTTTCTGCTATTCCCCTACTGTTCTTCTGCTAATTAAACAATAGATGACTGCAAATTTTTTTAAAAAAAGAAAAATCTTAAAACACTGTTGTTGATTTGAGATTTATTTCTGTTGAATTATTACTTTACAATAAAATCCCCAAAGTTATATGACAGGGTCAAAGTATATGAATGTCTTTATGGTGCATTGTTTGCCAATGGCTAACAATCATTAGCAGAGTTCTCTGATGTGCATAAGTTAATAGCCACACCAAAATGTTGTCAACATGATTTCTATTTGTTCTCTATATAGAAAGATATCATTTTTATATTTAATTATTCCCTTTGCATCAAAGCCTAGAAAATCCACCTATTTCAAATATAAAACACTAGCTTACATTTCTCTTTGAAAACTTGAATATTTACCTCTTCAATACATACAGAATGTATTTTGGAGTCAGGAATTGATATTTGATGTTAAGGCAAGTTTTAGTGTTCCATGTTCTCCACAACACTGTTTTGTAAAGGTCAGTGTTGGGAAGAAAGGAGAAGTAGATAGTTTAGTTTCTATGAAAAACAGTATAAAGAGCATTCACAGGGGCTGGGGGGGCAAAGGAGGGCAGGGCACCAACCTCAGTGCCTGGCCTTCCTTGCCAATTTTTTTACTAAAATCATCACGCATGAATCTTGAGTTCCACCCTGTGATGTGGTAACTGGATTGATGCATTGAATTGCTTCAAAATAATTTTAAGTAGTGAACCAAGGATATATATTTCCCTGTAGTATGAACATTTTCAGCTAAAATGTGTAAGGAAGGAAATGCTATTCAAACCAACAAATTAAGTATAATTATAGACTTAAAGGAAGAGAAAATTTGAATCTTTTTTCTTTTCCCAAGGGTGTTGAAAATAAACCAAACCAAAAATAACTACATTAAAATAACGTAATTTTAATTAACATAAAAGAGCAGGATGGTGAATTTTCTTACTGGCACTGAAAATGTGAGGAGCCAAGTCTTACTTACCCAACATCTGGAAGCTCAGTACGAGATGAGAGTTTGGATCTCAGACTTCGAGAGACATGTTCCTTTCCCATGGCCAACACCAATAAGTACCCATTCATGGATCAATTCCTGGAGCATAGAGGTCGCACTGAGCAGGGATGGTGGTCATCCTGGACCATGAAACTTGTGGTGACATCCTTTCCTTGCCCTCTTGTTTCTAATATTTTAATATAATGTTATGATGTTAACTATGTAAGGCTTTCTTGCTTTTTATTAGCTAGACAGAATTCTCTTTCACTTTAAAATGAAAACATGGGTAAATCACAAATATATATAAAATCTTGATTTATAGCCACAAATTCACAGAACATAAACACAAAGCAAAACACAAATTGGTTGAACTAGTAACAATTTTACACTCACCACAGCTGTTATGAAAAGGAGGGAGGAGGGCAAAATAACAGTTAGGATATCTGAAAATGTCATAAGAAATCATAGTATTAACTGCCAAAATATCTGTAGCATACATAAGATATATATATATATATATATATGTATATATATATATATATATATAT